GGGTCCAGATAGACTGTTTCCTCCAGGTGTCGAGGGAACTGCTGCGCAACCACACTCTCAACAACCTGTGGAACAACCTGCCTCCAGAAGCTGTGAATGCTCCAACACTGAAGTTTTTAAGAAGAGACTGGACAGCCATTTGTCTGAAATGGTATAGGGTTTCCTCCCTGAGCAGGGATTTGGACTAGATAACCTCCAAGTTCCCTTCCAACTTGATGATGATGATGATGATGTATGATAAGATTATTTCTTTTTCTGCAAGGGACTAATGCAGTTAGAAGGGAGGGAAATGGTGACGGGGTGCTGTTTATTGTAGCATGAAGCATTGTGGAACTTCTTTTATCCTCTCCAAGTTTCTGCTTTCTTACCCCTTTGGACTGGATTCAATTTTAATTGCTATCAAGTCAGGTTGGTCAGGCTGATAAGGTCTAACACTAGCTAGAAACTGGCAAGATCTGAAAACCTTTACTCTTCCTTTATAGTCTTTCCTGCCCCACCTACCTTTTCACATGAAACCAACTTTATCTCACATCCCTCAAATTGGTCCCCTTACCCTATATGAACACCATGTGAGGTACCCTTTATGAACACCATGTGAGGTAAAATATCTGAGTTGAAGAACAACCTTCTGTTAAGAAGAATCTTCCCCAAAGGGTCCAAAGCTGCTTCACTCTTTACCCTTCAGCTGCTTTTGAAAGCAGCCTGGAGCTTTGGAAAACCTAGGAATGAAATAGTGTGAATAATAAAAATAAAAAGGAACACATACGATCCAAGTGCTTCCATGAAAACAAATGTTTTTCTGATGTTGGCAGTCGGTTTCTTCCAGGAAGTGCCATTATCCTCTTGTTTGCAACCCATCTTCTCCAGAGTTAAAGCTGAAATTTCTGAAAGGATATAATAATAGCTGAAGAAGAATATTCTAAACAGTTATTAATGATAACCCATTAGTGTCAGATTTCTGTCATATTTAGCAGAATTTAACACAACCTGCCTCTGTAATTGTTTACAGTGGTAATTGTACAATCAGTGATAATTGTTTACTACAGGTTACCTTCTAATTTCTACAATTTGATTTTCTAGTTACTATCCATGCTCTGGAATTCTTCTGTAAACTACAAACCTGAGTAGAGTTAAAACAGTGCTGACACTGTCATCATTTTTCCTATTCTTCTTTGAAGGACTGAACTACTCTCTTGTAATAATAGGCAGCATTTCCTAACACTTGTAAGACCCAGCTGTAAGCCCCAGGAGGCTTTTCAGCAGTATAAAGGTTTAAATTGTAAAAAGACTTGTCATCTGAGCTTCTAAATCTTATTGAGAGCCAGAAATGTTCCTCTGGAGTATTCTGTATTTTGGAATATGAAAATTTAGATCTGGTGATTCAGAGGCTGATTTGCAAATTTCAGAGTAGGATTATTTTAGGGTGTTGATAAAATAATTGCTGCTATTATTCTAGATGGCTGGTTCTTGTTATTCATTGTGACAAAGCATATAGGACTGTCATCATAAAATACATTAGACTAATGTACTTAGTAAAGCTAGTTTGGAAATCACATAGAAAATCTAAATTCCATTCCTTTTAATGGCAATAAAATGTGCCATAATAATTAGGCTTCTATTTTTATTAGGATTGACCCACATTTTACACCAAATTTAAAGCTCAGGGATATTAGATGCTAACATACTCATTAAATGGTAATGTTTGTAGTTTATATAAGATTGTGTGATCTTATTGCTCATCTAAGTTAATAATTTACCGCTAGAATTGAGAGCTAACACACTCTGAAACAGATTATATAATTATAAATTGAATAGAATGTATAGACCAGATTCATGGTGAGAAAAGAATGGGCAAAGCCAGACAATAACAACACAGAATAAACCTTTCTTCAAACAGTAATTAAATTAAAGCATTTTACATATACATGCTCAAATAGGAGACTTAGGGCAAAACTGCATGATAATGAAAACATTTTATGCTACCTATTTCTTTTCTTTTCCTGGTTTTAATGCATGATGGGGATGGGAGAGGAGGGGAGTAAAGTTCTTATTTGAATTAGGACTATTAGGTAGGAGAAGAAAGCTTGATCTTTTCTCCAAGTAACATTGTTTACAAGAAAGCCCTTCTTCATATCAAGTTATTTTTAAAAAAAAATTTTTTAAAAAAAAATACGGCTGCATGTGTCTTTTTCTAAACAAAAATCCTAAGTGAATATGATAGTGGAATAGCCTTTTGTTGTCTTGCATTTGTTGCTTTCACTTCAGAATGAGCCACCATCTATTTGCACTAGAGCAAATAGAAAATGCAGATAAATCTACACAGATTCTGATTTTTATAGCCGCTTAACTGATCCGTTTAAAAATCCTGAGCCTGGACTAATCTGAAAGAAATATAAACCCGAGTGTTACTTTGATACAAATTGTATGGTAGTTATACCCATCACATCAAAACATTTGTCTTTTGGGGAGTGCTTGCAAGAATTGGATAATTGGGATTTTTCAGTGCTAAGATTTGGATGTTACTATGTATCTTAAACAGTAATGAAACATTAAAGAATTTGGATTGATAAAAGTGTTACCTTTTCTATCCAAGTTCTTTTTAAAAGGGTGCTTTTTAAGAATGAATCTCATAGGTTGTTGCATCATACTTTCAATATAAAACTAGTGCTGTCTTCATTAAATAATCAGTAGAATAGTATTTAAATGTTAACTGTCAAAAGTGAAGCTGCTTGATGTCTCCTTTGACAGGAAAAGTCCAAAGAAGCCTGGCACCAACCAGCAGGCAAAGTTTATTCTGCTTCACTGATCAGCAGAGTGGCAGGCAAGTCGTGAGGATCAGCACCTGATTTTCTGCATTTATTAGGAGCTTAGTTCCAAACTGGAAAGCATAAGATTGCAACATGAAGGACCTTCAAGATATTAATACATCATCTATAGAAGGAAAGGCTACACAATGCTGTACTGTTTGTGTATGTTTGGAGACTGGCATTTTGTGGAAATCAATATTAAATTAACAAATAGACTAGCAGAAATATGGATAGAAAGGAACAAGGCTGCCCTCTATTAGTTTTCGCCTTATTAGTGGACTATACATGGGTTGAGGAAGTTTACAAAGTTCCTCTGTCTTGATCTGAGAATTAAATAGAAATTAAATGAAAACAACAGATGCCACATATTTCCTCAAGCCTAGGCATATCAAGATGTTGATTAATTTTAATCCCTTTCTTCTGCAAAACAGTCCAGAGAAATGTTATTTTCTCCCACTACCATTAGCTATAGATCTTCCAGGGAGCTCTTAGTTAGTTCCAGACTGAATTCAGATCTTCTCAGTAGCTCCATTTATCGCCATGGCTACATTTGGCTTACACGGGTAGAAGCCTTTATGGGATAAACTGCAAACATATCAGGAGTTTTTTTTCCAGCTACATTTAAGAATAATTTATGCAGTTAAAGAGCTTTTGGAAAGCACTTCTAAATAGAAGCCCTGGAAATGTCCTGTTATGAGCAAATACACTGAATTGGAAAATGGAGTTGGATGCAAAGCCCAACATTGCTCAAAGGCTGAAACACCATCACTCTTCCTCCACCTCCTCCTTTTTCAGGAATAGCAAACTCTTCAAGCACATGACTGCATTTGCCAGTGATCAAATGGAGTCCTTTGTTAAAAAAGGAACATTTTGAACAGAGGGAGTCATTACTGCACAGGAAAAAATAAAGAGGAAAAAATACATTTTTGTGGCAAGTAGTTAAGGCTTTCATTTCCTCCCTATCTTGAAGAGAAGTCGGGTAGTTGATAGAGAGTAGGAGGAAAGGAAATAGAAGCCAGGAATGCAAATGGGAGCCACATATTTTATGCCAATATAGTTTTCTGAAAGTGTAAGGTTGGGTAGATAGCATTATGATTTGGTGGTAGGGAAAGGCCTCTTCTTAATGAGATTCATGTGGCAATATCACATAGTGAGAAGTCCTATATTTTCTAGCTGCCTTTCTGTAGAACAGCCATACTTGTGGTGACCCTGGTCAACCCATTGCACATAAATATGAGACAATAGATGGACTAAATGCAGGGATAAACTTTTTCATTCTGTCTTACCTGTCAATCCTAGCAGAGGTTAGGACATGATGGAACAAATTCTAGTCTACTCTGTCCTTGCATGTCAACTTTCTCTTTACAGAGAACTTTTTTTAAGTTTAAAAAGGAAGGGATATTGAAATGTAAAATTGTACCTGAAGTGTTTGCCTTTTATATTATTTTTTTCTGTTTTCATTCTGATTTTTGAGGAGATAGGATGGCCACTTATATATTACTATATATGTATGTATGTATGTATGTATGTATGTATGTATTTATGTATGTATATATATGTATGTATATATATATATGAAATATATGAATATATGAAGAAAATTCATCACTAAAACAAACTCATTCCAATTTACTTTGCATATATTAATAATATTTGGATTTAACTAAGGGTTTAAAATAATTATTCTATTCTATTCAAATGGAAATATTAGAATTTTATTAATGCAGCTTGTCTCACATTACCTTCTTCTCTTAGAGATAGCCCTGGTTTCAGAAGAGCTTCCCTTTCCTGACTTATTTGGAGCCATTAACCTTAAAGAATTTCCAACAGTGGATGCAATGGGAAGTTGTGCCAAACTGTGGCTTCTTAGCCTGTTTACTTACTCCCATAAAAAAGAGTTAAGTGAGAGTCAGGAGTCTAGTCTGCTATAATAGCAACACACAGGCACCAACCAGTTTTTACTCTGAGAAACAAATGGCTCTTTTGCTATGATGGCAGGAGAAAAAAATGTTTGATGTTATAGATTTTTCAGTAGTCTGTTTACTAACATTTGTTCATTAAAAGTAGTGGTATCAACAATAAAAATTTTTTTTGAGAGCTGTATACTTGAACTAGTACTGCTATGAGTAAAGCTTCACATCCTAGTCTAAATATAAATTTATGCTACTTATTTCATAGTCAGCCTATTGGTGAATGTCCACCTTGGAAAGTCTGGGATAATTTGATATGGTGGTTTAATTCTCATGATAAGTATAACATTATGTTCATGAATAACCAATTTTAGAAAAAAGATGCCAACTCATTTAAAGTTGGCAGCTTCTAGAAAGTATCTGTTTCAGAACTGTTGATTTTATTAGTTTATTTTAGAAATACATATGTAATGATAAATTCTGTCAACAATATACAGAACAAGCATAGGTAAAAACAAATTGTCCCCAGTCTAAGGTACTATATCTGGGATGCAGAAATCCAGATGTCCATTAGGTGGCAGCAAAGGGAAACAGAACAAACTTAGAGCTTAGTGGGCTTTTTTCAGTCCAATTATGGTAGCCCTAGACTAGTTAGCATGTGGCCTGTTAATTATCAGGGTGTTAAATAAGGCTAAGCCCAACAGTTACTTTGATTAAGCTTCTGAAATGAACAGCAAAAAGATGAGCAACCAAGAAACCAACGTGATCATCAGGCATGAAATAAGGAAGCTGAGAATGAAGCAGGTTGTGTGGAAGTATAATTACTGATCTAGTTAGCAGTGTACCATCTGACATTGATATTTTGATGGTTCTTAAACATGTGGAATTAACACGTGACAGAATATATAAGAAGGCATTTGAGAGAAAAACAGAGTTTCCATTTTGTCTTTTTATCTCAGTCACCCATTTTGCAAATTCATGATGTTCACTTACATTGTTCAATGTGGTTTTTTTTAATAAAATCAGAAAACATGTTAAGCATGTAATATGATATATTGAACCCATCCACATTTTCTTCTACTTCATTGTTGTTTGGTTTGCAAAGGCACTAAACGGAACTATGAATAATGATATGAGATGGCCCAAC